TCTTTTTTTGATCAGGGCGTTCAGTAAGTTCGATAATTCTTAAATTATCTTTCCTCAATCTATTTTGCAGGTCAATTTTTTTCCCAAATGAGATATTTCCCATTTTCTTCTATTTTTTCATTCTTTTGATTTTGTTTTATTATTTCTTGATGTCTTATGGAGCGATTAGCTTCCACTTGCCCAATTCTTACCCAGTAAAGAATTATTTTCTTCAGTAAGTTTTAGTACATCCTTTTCCATTTGGCCAACTCCACTTTTTAAGGAGTTCTTCTCTTCAGTGAATTTTTGTATATCTTTTACTATTTGGCCTATTCTGTTTTTTAAGGATTTATTTTCTTCAGTATTTTTTGGTGCCTTCTTTACCAAGCTGTTGACTCTTTTTTTTCCATAATTTTCTTGCCTAACTCTCATTTCTTTTTCCACTTTTTTCTGTATCTCTTTTATTTGATTTTTTAAATGCTTTTTGAACTCTTTGAGGAATTCTTTTGGGGCCTGAGATCAATTCATATTTTTCTTCGAGGCTTTGCATGTAGCTGTTTTTACATTTGATCTTCCCTGTCACCATAGTAACTTTCTATGGTCAGATTTTTTTCTTGTTGTTTGATCACTTTTCTAGCCTATTTCTTGACTTTTAACTTTATGTTAAAGTTGGGCCCTGCTCCCAGGGTGGAGAGGGCACTGTCCCAAAATTCAGGTTTTTGTACTATTGTTTTCAGAGCTACTTCTGGTGGGTCTGTATATCTTCAGTTCTTCCAAGGGAGTACAATCTAAGGAAAGATGTGGTCACTGCTTTCCTGTCCTATGCTCTGGTCTGTGAGCAACCACAAGCACTCTCTTCCACCCTAGAACTGCATCCAGGGTCCCTGCTCCTAATAATGCCCCTACTTACCCTGAGACAGAGACTTGGAATTGTGTAAGGGCAATGCAACAGAGGCCTGCTCAGGGTGTCAGCAAAGGGTCCCCCATAATCTCCTTCTGACCAGTTGTCAGACCTGCTCACTGTCTGTGGGCTGAGAACTCCAGAAACTTCCAATTCAATCACCCTCAAGGCCTGCTGCTTGCTTGCCTAACACAGCCGGCACTGGCATGGCTCATGTTAGACTGTGATCCACTCCCACTCCAGTGAGACACACCTTTCCTGCCAAAATTCTAAATTGTCTTGGGCTGGAAAATTGTTTCACCCTGTTCTTTTTGTTGGTTCTGCCACTTCAGAATTCATTTTGAGGCATTTTTTTAATGTTTTCCAGAGGGGAATTTGGGAGACCCTTCACTCTACCATCTTGGCTCCACCCATTGACAAAATGATTTTTAATAATTTCCTTTATTTCTTCTTCATTCGTTGTGATTTCTTCTTTTTTTCATTTTAAGTTGTCCATTTGCTTTCCCTGCCTTTTTAAAAAGTAGATTAGCCAATATATCTTTATTAGTTAAAAAAAGCAACAGCTCTGAGTTTTATTCATTCATAAAATGAGTTTTTTTGCTTTCATTTTTATTAACCTCTCCTTTGATTTTTCAGAATTTCTATTTTAATGTTTAGTTGAGAGTTTTTGATTTGTTGGTTTTCTAGTTGCCTGCCCAATTTATTCACCATGTTCTTTCTCTCTTTTGTGCTTGACCACTGGTAGGAGTTCTATCCTCATGCCTGCAGGCTTCTGGCTGTCTCTTTGCCCAATTGTAGGTTAGAGGAAGGTGCTTACTACATTTTCTCTTTGGATTTCTTGAACATTATTCCATTAGGTACACTTGTAGATCTTGGATGGATTAGGTGTGGGAGAGCCAGATACCTCTACAAACTTTAACATTGCCATCTTAACCATAAGCTAAGAGAAATATTTCAGGAAGCAGAGAGATACAAAGAGGATGTATACCAAAATATGAAGGATAAGAGAGAAAGAGGGGCAGAGAGATTCCTTGCCCATAAGGGGAAAGTATCAGATATCTATCATCATCATCATCTGCTTTGCAGATTAGCCACAGTGCTTTGTGTGAGACCCAGTTCTCAGCTTGTCAGTGGTCTTCAGATAATCCCATTCGAGAGGGTCAGACAGGCCCTAAGAGGTATTCCATGGGCACCTGTACTGAAGCCTCTTCTGTACACAAGGGCCCAGCTAGACAGAAGAAGCTCTCTTGTTGGCTGGCAGAAGCCTGGCCTGGCCTGTAATGCTGTTTTTAAGTAATTCATTCAAACAAATGCAGACTCACCACAGGAAGGGTTTAGGCAGATTTGGTGTATGGCAAGCCAGCTGTGGGTAGCTGGAAAACCCCTGGTGTTTGTTAACCTTTGCCATCTTAACTTCTCCTTTGGACACTGCAGTAACCTGGATGATCTCCAAGAGAATTCTGTATGTGTGGGGAGTGGTATATATATATGTACATGTACACCTTTGAGTGGTGTGTGTGTGTGTGTGTGTGTGTGTGTGTGTGTTTTAGTGAGTGTGTGCTTTCTTTGGGGGCATTTTTCTTCAATCTTTTATCCTCTTGACTCCTTTTTTTCCCACTTAATAGTATTTTATTTTTTCCAGTTACATGTAAAGATATCCTCTTGATTTCTGTAGGCTACTCTCCTCCCACCTGCCCTGTATGCCCTCAGTACTCACGTGCACTCTCCCATCCTTCCCAGGCACTCCCCTCCCCCCTTAACCAACCCACTGGGGCACTGGCATCAGGCTTGGTGCTCAGGAGTTTCTGGATAGGTGGGGATAAAGGATCCAGCAGAACGGAGTATAATCACAGAGGGCTGAGCAGGTGGCTGTCATGCCCAGGCTGGCTTTGTTTTCTCAGCTGCTGCAGCTGAATTGTCTGTAATCCTCCCAGTCATTGTAGTCCCGCTCCAACCCCCACCCCAAGGCTTAAACCACTTTCAAAAGCTTCCCGGTTTCCAATTCTGGGGTGCCCCTCAGCCAGGAAGCAGGGATTTGGTGACTCAGGGCTTTGGAAGGTGGGGAGGAAGCCCTCATCCCTTCCTGAAACAGCAGAGGTTGAGTAAGCCTCAAAACAGTGCCTTGAGTTCTTGCTTCCCCAGCCTCCCCAGGCCCTAGAGGAATCTGGTCCTCCAGCCTCTTGTCCCCTCTAAAGGCTTAAAATAGAATCTCAGTGTTGGAAGAGACTGCCTGATCTAAGACCTTCATTTTATAGATAGAGAAACTGAGGCCCAGAGAATGAAGAGGACTTGTCCAATGTCACTCAGAATTTGAGTCCCAACCCAGCTCCCTTATAGGGAAGTATGGTTCATGCTGGTCCTCCAGCCAATGGAGGTGATAAGACTGCTCGCAAATTACATCAATATTAATTAGAGGCTTAGGCTCCCTTCGGAGTTGGAGCTGAGATTCTAGAGGAGTGTAGGGTTAATTCACGGCAGCTAGAGGATTTGATGAATGGAGTTCTGAGCCTGGAGTCAGGAAGACCTGAGTTCAAATCCTGCCTCAGATACTTATTAGCTGTGTGACCCTGGCCAAGTCACTTAATCTCTGTTTGCCTAAATCCACTGGAGAAGAAAATAGCAAACCACTCCAGTATCTTTACCTCGAAAATCTCCATAAACAGGATGGTTCATAGGGTCATGAAGAGTCAGACATGACTCTTTGGTATTAATTCACATGCAAAGCCTAGGCATTTCAGTTCTTCCCTCTTCCAATTTGCTTCACATTTGGATGCCCTCGTTTTAAATTTTATAAGGGAGCTCTCAGAGAGTAGGGACAGGGTCGTCAGTTGCTCTGGGGCCACTGCCAATGGAAAGAGCACAGATAAACACAGATAAGGTTCAGGGATTGCTAACGCTAGTCCTGATTCTGCCACAGATTGCCTCTAGGTAAGTCCCTTCCCAGTCCTTAACCTCAGTTTCCTCTTTAGAATAGAGGCAATGATTCCCAAACCATGCTTCTAATTCCACCCAGCAGGACACACATGCACACAGAAGCATGAGCATAGACTCACGCATGTATACAAACACACATGTGTCTTGCTCTTGCCCCTGTTCTAGGAGTGGTAATTAAATCAGAACTACCACTACAGCCAAAAGGGGCATTTGGTCCAGTGGCTCTACTCACAATCCCTGGGGCTCAGTACACTAAGACTTCTTTCTCTGGCTTCCACTCCCCTATATATGTTGTATCCCTCTATTAGAATGTGAGCTCTTTGGAGGCAAAGATTCTCTCGATTTTGTTTTTATTATCCCTGGCACAGAGCAAGTGCTTATATCTCAATATATTCCATCAGTATTGGATAATCTCTGCCCTGAGAAAACACTTTGTGAGTGGCATAGCTGCCTGCTGCCTGGTGTGTCTAAACTAGTTCTCACAGCTCTAACCAATTGTTAAATTTTCAGTGTGAGTGTTCACACCTTGGAAATCAGCCGGCTTGATCTATTATTTTGTTGATTGTATAGACTTAAGAAAGTGCTGGAGAAAACAGATTAAACTTAAAAGGGGGCTCTGCTTACCTTCTCCCCCTGCCTGGAGCAATTTGTAAAACATTTACCAACACCTCGCTGCCCACGAAGCAAGAAGGCACAACGCAACTTCGGTCATGATGGAGGAACAAATGGTATCACACCTTAGGCCTTTTAAAGGGCCTTGTTGCAGTAATTACTCTTCAGTGCTAGGTGAACAAGTACATGAAAGAGGAATAAAGGATCTAAGTCATGAAAATGTCTACCACTCCAGCAACCTAATTAGGTTCATTGAAGGCTTCTGTGAAGCCCCTCTAGTGCCAGAAACATATTCTGATGATATTGTTATCCCCAGCAGAATATATATTTGTTGAGGGCAGGGACTGTTTCACATTCTTGTGTTTCTCGTCCGGTGCCTGGCTTCTGGCAAATGCTTAATAACCACTCGTCAAAAGCGAATTGAACAGAAAACAAACAGTGGCCAAGTAGATGCTGTCAAAAGCAGCAGTCTCTTTCAGGTGTCTATGTTAGAGTAGATGTGTGCTTTGCTGTTGCCTCAGTTTACCCCACTCCCCTGAGCAGCCTTAGCCTCACAACATTTTCTTACCTGTAGGACAATGGATTCACTCACAGTAGAAGGTCTTCAGCCTCAGGAGGGAGCCTGGCTGATAGCAAGACTAGCCTGGGCCTCCAATATGGGACTCCATCCCGCCTCTATTCCCACAACAGTGAGGCCAATTTGCAGGCACAGATGAGCAACCTCCATGTGTCTCCACCCCACAGGTAAGTGATACTGTTGATCCTCACTGCTCCCCTAACACTTCCCTAAAAAGTGCCCAGGCCAACATACCATAATGCCTCAGGGTCCACTATCAGTACTTCTACCCTTTGGGGTAGACACTCTCTGCTCTCTGAGATAAGTTTCTCCAGGAATATAGTCCTAGCCTCAACTCCTCCCTACTCTATCCCCTAACCTAGGGGTGGGGAAGTTGGGACCTTGAGGCCTTTTAGGTCTTTGGGTGCAGCCTTTTGACTGAGTCCAAGTTTTATAGAACAAATCCTTTTATTAAGGGGATTTGTTCTGTGAAGTTTAGATTCAGTCAAAGGGTAGCACTTAAGGACCTAGAAGACCACTTGTGGCCTTGAGGCCACAGGTTCCCCACCCCTGCCCAAACCCAAACTGGGCCTGTAGGAATGGTTTTTTTTTTTTTTTTGCTACTCTCATTTCTCCTTCAAAACTCCACAGTTCTAGCCCCATTTTTGTGCCTTCCTGGGGCTTCTATTACCCTGTGCCACCTACCCTAGCTTTTACTGATTCCACCTCTTCAATTGTAGAGCTTTAATCTCAAGTGACTCCCTTCGGTCATTCAGAAGAAAGGAAAGGACACCCTCCTGAGAGGGGGCAGCCCCAGACACTTTCTCCTCTGAGAAACCTGTTTTCTCAGATATTATACAGAAACTGGTGCCCCCATCCCAGTCAGGTAGAAATTGAGAAGCAGGTTTGGGCTAGAAGAAATAGATGATAAATATCCAGTTAAGAACAATAACAACAACAAATCAGTGGGGCATAGCTATGAGTGGACACATTCCTCATGGTACCTTGAAAGTCCATCAATGAGCATTTGTCCTTTGGGTCTTTTCTCCTAGAGAGGAGGATTAGGGATCAGACCTGTGACTTCATTGGCTTGACTATTGGCTCCTAGTGAAGAACTCCCTCCACCAAAGCAAGTCAGCACTTTTCCTTGCAATTTATAGTCTTCCACAGTTCAATAGCCTAGGTTACTGAGAGATGAAATGACTTGCCCAGGGCCACACAGCCAGTATGTGTTAGAGACGGGACTTGAACTCAGGACCTCCTGGCTCTGAAGCTGTTCTCTATCTACTACACCATGCTGCCTGTCAAACAATAAAATATACATCCCAGGGTAAGCTCAGGGAGGACAAAAACCTCCAAGGGAGCAGAAAAGCAAAAACTTGCTTCATTTTGATTTTCAGACAGAACGAAACAGGTGCTAAATGTTCAATAAATCAACCAACAGACTTAGCCATCAAAGACACAATCATCCACCTTTCTCTCTAGCTCTGATTATGTTTTCTAGAATTCCATGTTCTTTAGTCCCTCCTGGGACTTATCTCCCTTTTTCCAGACTTGATTTTTAACTGGTCTCCCCGTTGTTCATTTTTTTCTGCCCAGGATTCCAACTGTCCTGTGAGGTCTAGGATAGAGGTCTGGGTCTAAGGCAAGGTCTGGCCAGGCGCCATTTCATCTCTCATCAGCTCTTAGATACATTATTTTCTTTATTAAAAAAAATTGTACTGATATCTTTTATTTTTACATCACTTTCATTTCTAAATAATTCCTTCCCTACTCCCCTACCCAGAGAACCACTCCTATAACAAAAATAAAAAGGAAAGAAGAAAAAAAAAATTCAGCAAAAATACCCAACACATAAAATGAGTTGGACAATGTATGCAATGTTCTGCATTCATCATCCCCCACTTCTGTGAAGAAGGATTCATTTAATCTAAATGCTAATTTAGCCATAAAAACAAGATAGGTGGGGCTTTTTGGACCCCCCCTCCAATTCCTGACCAAAGGTTGGCAGCAAAAGCAACCCCCTTCCAAGTTCCTCTGGGCATGGCAGAAACAGATCTCTTTTTGGACAAGGGGCATCAAGAGTAGTCCCAAGCAATTAGTCAGATTTTGGTAGTGACGCTGAAAACATAGCTCCCATCACCCACTTTCTTCTGCCACAGATACACGGGGCAGGTGTGCACTGGGTCAGAGTTTCTGGGGGACCTAAAGATGCCAGAGACACGTGTAGTGTTTTGAGTCTGTGTTTCCACCCAGGACTTGGGGTTGTGACCCTACCCTCTGCTAGGCACTCAGCCCTTCTACTCCAAACAAGACAGTGTTTCCTCACTACCAGTCAGTACTAATCTTCATTAGCTATTTTTTGTTCCAAAACTTGCACTATCAAAAACTTTAAAAACTATAGTTAGAATATTTTGAAATTGATTCCTCATGTCATTTTCCTCCCCAGTCTCCTTGACCTCAGTTTCCTCATCTGAAAAATAAAAAGATGACCTCTGAGGTCAGTTCCAGCTCTATGATTCAATGAGGCCTCCGTCTCAGCAGCACTGGGTCATAGTGTTGCATCTCTGAGAGCCACCCTGCTGAATCTCTTAAAAAATTTAGATAATTTGCCAGCTTGCAGAATAGAATCATAGATTTTGGGCTAGAAGGAACCTGTGAGGTTCTCTAATCCAGAGCTGTCAACGCCTTCAAAACTCCTCTGGCTGGACCAGATTAAAATGTAATTGGGAACTGTTTAACAAAATAAATGAAAATATAATACAACATAGAAAATGTTAATTTGTGGTTTTCTAAGTCAATATGTGACTGTTCCATTACTATAATAATTTGACAATACTGCATTAGTCCAACCCCCCCACTCCCATTTTACAGTTGAAGAAACTGAGGCTCAGAGATGCAGTAACTTGATCGAGGTCACAAAGGCAGTAAGTGATTGATTTAGGGCTAGAAAGGGTCTTAGAGGCCATCTAGTCTAACCCCCTCATTTTACAGAAGAGGAAACAGACCCAAAGTGCTTTGCTCAAGGTTACACTGGGAGATGGAACGCAGATCCTCTGACTCCCAAACAAACTCATTTTACGCTGTACCACACTGCCTCAGTCATAGGTTAGGTTTGAAAATACTGCACTTAATCATTCTGCTTTACTTTGGCTTCTGCCCCAGGATGCCCAAGAGATTTTGTGAAATTCATGAAGATCCTGGCTCTCCACTCCTTAAACCATGGGGAGCTCTTGGCCATGATTTCATGTAGGATTTGAACAGGATGGGAGAGACACAGACGTGGGAAAGGAAGGAAATCCGTGAAGTTGGTGACTGTATCACTTAAGGGGGATCCCTGAGCTCCTCCGGGCCCCCAGTGAGGGAAGGAAGGGCCAGAAGTGCACATTGGGAGGTCTCTCTCCTAAACAGCACATAACCAGGACACTCCCATTTCAGTATCATGATGCAGTGGAAAGAATGTTAAACGTGGAGAGAACCTGAGCTCAGACGTCAGGACTTCAGCACTTTTTATCTGAGTAGCCTTAGTATCTTCATCTTTAAAAGAAGGGCGTGAGATTCTATAACCCCTATCTTCCTGTCCAGCTCTAAATCTATAACCTTTCATAGATACGATCCTTTCTCCTGATCTCTAAACAACTTGGATTCCTTCCAGTCAAGATATCAGAGGGAAGGCTCTCCTTCCCTCTAGAGGTATGAGAAAGCATTACTAGGGCCTAGAGGGAAAGCAGAGAGTCTCTCTAGGACAGAAAGCAGAGTGGGCCCCTCTGCCCCCACCACCAACCTCCTCCCCAATCCTTCATCTGGCCCAAACCAGGCTGAGCTCTGATACAAGCAGATGAGGAGTTGGGTCTCTCTATCAGACCACAGATGGCTCCTCCAGTTGGGCTGAACCATCTTGTCTGAGTGTGAGGGTCCTTTGCAGGTAGCAACCAAAAAGTTCCCACATGGAACCTGTGTTTCTTCTCTCTTCCACTCCCAGCAGTGCCGATTCTACAAGATCTCTCCCAAGGAGCAGGAATGGCATTGACATGGAATCTGATGTGTATAAAATGCTCCAGGAATATGGAGAACCTGCCTCAGAGCCCAAGCAGTCTGGGTCCTTCAGATACCTACAGGGCATGCTAGAAGCCGGAGAGAATGGTAAGAAGTACTCATGTACCCAGGGTTCTCCACTTACACATCCCTTCTTGCTCTATGTCCCACCTTCCCTTCCCTTCTCTCCACCCAGTCTTATGCTTGCCTAGGACAAAGTATGACATAACAGGAAAAGTCCAAACTGTGGAATCAGACAACCTGCCTTCAAAGCCCATCTCTGCCCCTTACTGACTGGCTGTGTGACCTTGGTGTAGTTAATAACCTCTCTGGGCCTCAGTGTCCTCATGAGGATGGGCTAAATGAATTGAGTGCCTACAGTCACCCATTAGCAGTAAGGTAGGGGCTGGAAGGGGTGGGGCTCAAAACACAGCTTTCAAAAAAAAAATAGCTGCCCTGTAGATGTCTAGTTAACACTTGTGGATTGCTCATTTCTGAGCTAGAAGTTCCACAATCTGATGTGGTCAGCATTGGACAGAGAGCCAGGAACCTTGGGTTCTCCTCTGATCTCATTTCCTCACTCTTAGGCCCAGAGAGATTAAGTAACCTGTCTGAAGTGACATCCTGTCATTCTTTTTTCTCTTTATTTAACCCTCTAAAAATGTTTTTTTAATCATGAACCTAACAATCATCAGCAATTATGAGCATTTCAATATACAAAACTTTTTTTTAAAAAAGGATTGTATATGAAATTGGTATCACACAGTGTCATCACCTATAAAATGGCTCTGTGCGTGCCACTGATGAGAGTTTAAGAAAAACTAAAAGATGCTGAGCACTTAACCCTCAGTAATCTCTTAATTGACAACTCTAATGTCCTCCTTTCAACCCTCATCCTTAACCTCTCTATAAAGCATTTAACACTATTGACCATCTTCTTCTGCTCTCACTTGGTTTTACTTCTCCTTTTCAGTCTTTTTTGCTTGAAAATGGTGAGTGTTCCCCAATACTCAGTTCTGGGTTCTCTTTTATTTATATATTCTCTCACTTGGTGATCTCATCATGGGTTCAAATTTTCATCTTAATACAGATGATCCTCAGATCTGTTTATTCAGACTTAATCTTTCTAAAGGCAGTCTCGAATCACAAACTGCCTTTTGGACATCCCAAACTATAAATCCTGTAGGGAAGATTAGAAATCTATCTGTACAGGACATTCTAAGCACCTGGGCTGAGACCTAATTAGACCTCACTCTTATGATTTTGAGAATCTATGCAAGGTCATGCCCTAACCTGGCATTTACCCTGGTAAATTCTGCCAAGAACTGGACATTTACCATGTTTATGCCAGGATTTCAAGATTATCGCCTTTATGACTTTTTTGTGTCTCTGCATCTATGCCAGAATGTGGGAGGGAATGAGACCCCTATGCTCCAACTCTGATGTCCTCAGTAAACGCTATCTCAGCCTTAACTGTAGCATCTGAAAGTTCTTCTTCCCTTTCTCCTGAGTCAGGCAGCATCAGATTGCCAGATATGGTCTCTGACACCTTGAGGTCTCTGCCAAGGATGACACAGTCCCACAACCAGCGCCAGCATTGAGTTGGCAGTTAGCAGAGGAGTTGGGTAGATATTCCCCGGAAATAGCCAAAGGTCATCCAGGCGGTCTTTGTCTTCCTACATGCCTCGGCTTGGGTTATTGGCCCAAATCAGCCAAACTAGTCAGCTTAATAATCCTGCCTCCCAAAGCCCTTAGTTTGTGATAGTAGAGTATGAGGGGTTTTTTTGTTCGTTTATTTTACTCATAAAAAAAATGAACCTGAGGGTTCATCTTTACCAACAGAAGTAAGGGGTGGGGATAAAGATGCACATAACTACATCCTGGAGGCCCCTCCACACTGGGATATATTTTAAAATTATCCCATTTCTAGGTCTCAGTCCAGAATGTGTGGGCAGCATCACAACTGATTATCAGATACTAGCAATCAGAAAGGAACAGGAGAAAACCAAAGGAAAAAGCAATGCCTTTTTAGAGGGTTTGGATCCTCCTCTCTTTAAAAATCATTAATTAATTTATTTATTTTTAGTTTTCAACATTCACTTCCATAAGATTTTGAGTTTTAAATTTTCTCTCCCTCCCACTTCTCCCCCCTCCCCAAGATGGCATGCAATCTGATATAGGCTCTACTTATACATTCATATTAAGCATATTTGCATATTAATCATGTTGTAAAGAAGAATTAGAACTCATGGGAAGAACCATGAGAAAGAAGAAACAAAACAACAAAAGAAAAAGAGAGCAAATAGTATGTTTCCATCTGCATTCAGACTCCATAGTTCTTTCTCTGGATGTGGATACCATTTTCCATCATGAGTCTTGTGGAGTTGTATTAGATCCTTGCATTACTGAGAAGAGCCAAGTCTATCACAGTCAGTCATAATACAATGTGGTTGTTATTTTGTACAATGTTCTTCTGGTTATGCTTATTTCACTCTGCATCAGTTCATATAAGTCTTTCTAGGTTTTTCTGAAGTCTTCCTGCTCATCATTTCTTATAGCACAATAGTATTCCATTACATTCCTATACCACAGCTTGTTCGGCCATTCCCCAAATGGTTGGGCATCCCCTCAATTTGCAATTCCTTGCCACCACATAGAGTTGCTATAAATATTTTTGTACATGTGGGTCCTTTTTCTGTTTTTATGATCTCTTTGGGATATAGACCTAAACAAATAGTCCTCTGATGCTTATGAATAACTTTGGAGAAGTCACCTAACTTCTCAGGACCTCAGTTTCTTCATCTACAAAATTAGGCTGTTGGACTGGATGACCTCCAAGGTCCCTTTCTGTTCTAAAACTATGATCTTGTGACTATATTTTTGCCCATGTGTAAAAATATGACATTTACGTGCATGATAGTATGTTCAAGGCAAGCCTTAGGGGTGTCATTTCAAATGTTTGTGTGTTCACATGGTTGTGAAAGTATGCCCACATGTAGTGTCTATCACATGTGTTCTGGCTTCACACCAGAGTACAGGTTCATGACTTAGAAGGAGGGAGGGGAGACCACAGGTGGGGATGAGAAAGGGGCACGGAGGAGAGGACTTAACTACTGTAGGCAAGGAGATCAGGTCACTGTGTCCCTCATTTTCTATAATGGTTCTCATTCATTCTTCATCACATAGGAATAGAACTGGAAGATTAATCAGTCAATCAACAAGCATTTATTAGACACCTGCTGCATACTGGATACTGGGTTAGGTGTTGGAGATAAAAAGATGAAAGTAAGACAACCAATACCTGACCTCAAGGAGCTTACCTTCTTCTAGGGGGACACAATTTGTTCACAGATAAGTGAGAACAGAATATATACAAAAGAAATACACAGTAATTTCAGACTGGGTGAATCATCATTCCTATCATTACGTAGTCCATTGGTTGGTGGAGTCTGTTGGTACTCTCACAGACTAGGGTGTGTGGGACAAGATGGGGAGCTGGAAAGTGTGGGGGACTGAGAAGAATAAGAGCAAGATGGGGTCCCAGGGGTACAGTTCTCTCTCAGGGTCACATCATGGGTGGAACACACACAGGCATGGTTACATCTCTGGTACTAGAAACTAAGCCAAGGATCCCAAAGCCTCATGTCTCTGAGACACAAGCTTGCCATAAAAGAGCTAGAATTTGGTTTTCAAAAAGAAGCTGGTGACTTTTCAGAGTCCAGTGGCTCTAAGCCCCTACAGATGAAGATGGGGCATGATATGTATGCCCCAATCCATCTGGACCTGTAGCATACACCTGCCCCCAAGTGACACATGCATATTCCCCATCTTTCCTGGTTTCTCATCTGTGGTACAAATGACTACATGGGATTTGTGTTTGTCTCTCTCTTCTGGGCTCCTGTCCTAAGTGCCCAGCTCCCTAAACTCCAGCTTGATGGTCAAGACAGAGTTCAAGCCTGGTCCATTTTCAACGTGTGTCCCTTCACTTGGCAGGTGAGAAACTAGATCGGGCAGGTGGCCCCAGAAGCCTCAAGTCTCCTGTCTCCAAGCTAGGTGGCCCCATGGGCAGCCTGCAGATGCTCCCTGAGTGTACCAGATGTGGGAATGGCATTGTGTGAGTACATACATGCAGCTTCCTCCCTCCCTCTGTTCTCTCTGTGTTTGTTCTGGGGCTGGGGGAGATAATGCAGGCCAGGTTCCCTTGCAGTGATGAAAAAGACTTTTGTAAGCTGTTCCCATGAAATACATCTATGTTTCTTTAATTCTAAGAACTCCCATGAGGGGATTCAGGCCACCATCAGGCACATGAGCAGTGGTTTAAAATGCAGGCACCAAAGGCATTGACTTTGTTGGAGATTTAGGGGTAGGACATACAGTCTTTTAATGTTACCTTAATTTGCAAAATCTTTTCTATCTCCCTTACCCAACAAACCATCCCTTGTAACAAAGAATTTTTTTAAAAAGAGGAATAAATAGCAGTTCGGCAAAAGTAGCCATCATGTCGGACTAATCTGATTGGCTATGCAGTGTTCCATACCCATAGTCCTCCACCTCTACAAAGAAAAGAAGGAAGTGCATTTTCCCATCTCTCTTCTTCCATACCCATAGTCCTCCACTTCTACAAACAAAAGAAGGAAGTGCATTTTCCCATCTCTCTTCAGGGACAAGTTTGGTCATTATCATTTTAAAGCATTCAGTTTTGGGTTCTGTTATCATTCTTTCCATTTTCATTGTTGAAGTCTTAATGTACTTAATAGAGGTAAAAATAGAAAACAGGGGAGGGCCAACAGGTGAAAACTGGTGCTAGGTGGTCACCTTTTTTTTTTTTTTTAGGTAGTGATCTTTTTACAAAACATCTGTCATGATTTCTCTTCTTGCCTTTCCGTCTCTCCGTAGGGGCACAATTGTGAAGGCACGGGACAAACTCTACCACCCTGAGTGCTTCATGTGCAGCGACTGTGGCCTGAACCTCAAGCAGAGAGGATACTTCTTTATTGAGGAGTGCCTGTATTGTGAGACCCATGCCAAGGCCCGGGTGAAGCCCCCAGAGGGCTACGACGTTGTAGCTGTCTACCCCAATGCCAAAGTTGAACTTGTCTGAGAGCAGCCCAGCCATCCCCAAACCTAGGGGCATTGACAGGGTGGCTTGCCCTAGCCATGCACACATACACACTACACCCTTTGTAACACGGCTCAAACCTTGTAGGTGACATCTTCACAGTAAAACACCTTTTCCCTCAGGAGAAGGAAAGGCATCAAGTTTGCCCCATGGAAGAGCTATTTCCTACTCCTCGCGCTGCTCCCTGTCTATATTGTATTTTCTGCTTTTGTTAACATTTCTGCCCTGGCCTTATCCAGACTCTCTGTAAATATAGGAAGCCTTTTCTACCTTGTCACCAATAAAACCAGCGTTCTGTATTTTGAGTTCCTTTTCATAACATGGTGAACATGTTCAAGAGCTCATAGGAAAAGAAGATGAGCTGCTTGAATCAGCTTAAATGAGTGACATTGAATTTTAAAACATGATTTCATCTTATTTTTATTTTATTCATATCTTTTGTATTTACATCACCCTTTTACCAAACATCTTCCTCCCATCCCCACTCCTATCATCCCTTGTAAAGCTAGCCATCATAAAAACTAAGTCTGAGCATATTCGCAATAATCCATACCCACAGACTTCACCTTTGAAAAGAAAGGGACAACTTTCTTGGTCATTATAATTACACATCTTTCCATTTTGTTTCCTTATTCTTTCCACTTACATTGTTACAATCATGTTATTGTTTTTCTGGTTCTGCTTCCTTCACTCTGTGTCAGTTTATACAAGTCTTCTCATGCTTCTCTGAAGTCTTTCTATCTATCATAAAACATGGGAGTCTTTGGAAGGAGTGCTGTCTCTGAAACCAGAGGAGTGGGACTCAAAACTTGTCTTTGGTAATTCCCTCTTGTGAGACCTTGGACAAGTCATTTAACTTCTCGGGACCTGCTTCCTCATCTGTATAATGAGGGGATTGGCCTAAATGGCCTCTAATATCCCTCCTAGCTCTTGCTCTAAGATCTAAGGTTTCCAATCTGTGTTTCTTGCCAACCCCACGGAGGCAGACTCAGCTCTGATTCAGCCTCTGGTGCTCAGCCACCAAGGCACACCACACCACACATGGCTACATGGTAGCAATCATGTTGAAAGGATTAGAAGGCACTGTTTCTTTCCAGGGACAAAGGACATAATACCAGAGGCACCTCACTCCCGCAGGGAGTGATAGAGAGGAAATCAGAAACTATCAGGGAAGAAGGAATAGACATTTAACCCAAAGCAATTGCTGCCACTCTTCTCTCCCTGGAGTGGAAAGGGGCTGGGTGAAGGAATGGCCACTCACTGCCACTTTATACTTTCTTTCTGGCCAAGACTCTGACGTTCACTCATGCCCCAAAGGGTACCAGGCCTAGGAGCCATCCTTTCTCTCCCCAAGGGGCCATCCAGGGCCATGAGCACTGGCTTTAGCCACTACATAGTAGGGAAAGAAGGGCAACTGTGCCCACCCTGCCCCACATTGAACCATTGACCCTTTGACTCCTTGGTACCTTAATTCCTTCCTCTGGTTTGACACGCAAGCTGATGATGCTTTGGTACAAACCAATATTCCTAGTGATGTGACCACCCTTAATCATTGAGCACTTTTTCAACACCTACTATGTGCTAGGCACCATGTGAGGCACTGAGAAAGTACACAAAGACAAAAATGAAATAGTTCCTGCCTTCAAGGAGCTTATATTCAACTGGGGGCACACCACATGTTCACAGATAAGTAAATACAGGATACATACAAATAAATGCAAAATGATAGTGCCAGACACTCACAAAGGGAATCAGGGAAAACCTCTTGAAGGAGATGGCCTCACCTGAGCCTTGGAGGGAGTTCTAACTGGCAGAGGTGAGAGGGGAAAGTGCTCCAGGAATAGGAGGAGGGGGACTTCCTGTGCCTAAGTGAAAAGGCAGTACCTGTCTATATCATGTGGTTAGTAGAAAGCAAAATCTAGGGAGGGGTTTTCAAATCTGCCTACTGAGGGAAGACAAGCCCCTGTCCCGGGTTAGATACATTAAGGGCAATGGATGACAGTGGCCAAAGACAGAGTAGTGAATGGTTTCCATGGTGCACACTGTCCCTTCTTGAGGACACATGTAGAAAGCAGGAATCTACACAGATCCAAGACAAGCATTGCACATGTAAACCTTCTTCAGAGGGTGGGAAATGAGAGCCCACTGTCTTCTGCCCCAGTCAGAACATCTCTACTACTAATTATGTTAGTTTAGGGGAATCGCATTTTAGGAAGAATATTGACAGATCAGTCGATCCAAAGGAAAGTGACCTTGATGGTGAGGGGGCTGGCAACCATGTCCTAGGTGGATTGTTGGAAGGAAATAGGGATGCAACTAGGGTTGGGGGGGGAGAGATAAACTATTTCATCAAGTATTTGAAAGACTGTCCTTTTGAAAAGGGATTATATTTGTTCTGCCCTGCTCCAGCAGGGAGAACTAGGAAGCTGCAAGGTAGAAGGGGTGGAAGTGTGTTTAGGCAAAAGCTTCCTAACAATACAGAAGGGGGATGGGTTGTCATTCCACTGAGGTAGTGGATTCCCCTTCACCTGGGGTATTCAGATGGAGAGTGGATGGCCATTTGTCAGGGCTGTTTTGAAGAGGATGACAATGCTGAGGTAGGAACTAGATTAGATGGCCTCCCTTTCAGCTATTAGCTTCTATGATTCTATACCTAAGGGACTAGGTGATAGAGTACTGGAGTCAGGAAAACCTGAGTTCAAATCCAGCCATAGATACTCACTAGCTTTTTCACTCTGGGCAAACCACTTAACCTCAGTGGGCCTCTGTTCTCTCATCTGTGAAATGGGAACAATAATAGAACCTACCTCCCAAGTGAGGTTGTTGTGAGGAGAAAATGAGATAATATTAGTTAGAAGTGTTTTTCTAACCTTAATGCACTATATAAGTGGTAACTATTGTGAGGCTATGTCAGTAAGAAGGAAGAAAAGCAAAAAGCTGCTCTGCTAGGTACTGAGGAACAGGGATGTTTTTTCTTTCTCTCAGCGATTCTGTGATTTCTTAGCAAACTGTCTACCCAGTACCCAGGCCCTGGAGACAAAGAAACTCAGAGAGGATTCTAGCATCAGTCCCAAATAGTGACTCACTCCCTGGCCTGGCTTCCAACAACCTCCACCCCAGGCTGAGAGATGTTCTCACACATGCCAGGGCCAGAGCCAAAAGCGCATCTGAAACTTGACCCGCTTAGGACCCTACTACCCATTACTTCTGAGCACCAGGTGTGGACATGTGGGGAAACAGAGATGTATTTGGTTCTCCAGACAGCCCGGATATAAAAAAGTCATTTGAGCACTTGGAAACTAGAGAATACTTGCTTCAAGGCAAGGTCAACACTCTGGCTGGGGTGGGAGGTAGATGACACTCAGGCCTGCAGGATGAAAGCAAGAAGGAAGCAGCAATCTGCTACACCATAACCCATTCTAATTCACTAAGAACTCAGTGAGTCTTCATGGGCAGAACCCAATGCTGAATTCCACTGGTTGGTGAAGGAAGGAGAAGTCAGAAGGAACAAGTCAACACTCCATCTTTGACGAGTTCACAGTCTAGGAGAGACATAAGAAGAGCACCCCCAGGCCATGACTTCAGTGACCTCGTGGGAGGGAGGAAGGAGAGGAGAGAAGCAAACCTGCCCTCTGAGAGCTTGAAATCTGGGGACGGAGGGTGAGTGCGTGAGTGACCAGACTCACAAAGAAAACAGGAAAGGAGTAAGACTAGTCTGTGTGGGATTTGGTAACAGTAAATGAATTCAGCTCATCCATTTTTGGAGGATGAGAGAAGGCCTAGGCCATGAACGGCCTGGGGCCAAGTATTCAAAAGCTTTGCTAGGAAAATCCTGATGCTCATGGTAGGCATTTGCAGAGCCATGCCAGGAGCCCACACAGCCTGTTCAAAACTGTCATTGGGAGGAAAGAATCAGTCATGGTTGCCTGTGCCTGGTGGGAACGGACCATCGCCCACCATGGAAAATCATAGTTTCACTGGATGGAAAAGTGTTATTCCTCTGACTGGTATTTAGTATTTCTAGACACCTTCCTATCCTCTTCAGAAATGTGGCACAATGGGAGAGAACACAGTGCCTGGAAATCCCAAGTCTGTGGTGTCAACCGGGTCTGCTCCTTCTCTCTTCCTGGATGAACAGATATGGTGATTGCCATGTTTTCATGGCCTTTTCAGATCTATCACTTGCCCAGTCATCTTACAGCAAAGCCCTATTGCCTTGGGCCCCTTCAGGTCACATAGAGAATGGCCAAAAGCTAAGGTCTCTTCTTGGCCAAGGTTGTAGCAGCAACGTATATTTTCCAGTCCTCAGTATGGAGAAGCACTTTTTCCCTATTCCCTTTCAGAGACCCCACTGCCCTCATATCCATGGTCAAGCCTAGTCTCCCTTCCAGAGAGGTTGTTGTTTCATTAAAATTTAATGAGAAGTATCATGTAATGATTTTTTATCTCTATTTCAAGTCATGCCAATTTGCCAATGCTTCTCCGGGAGTACCTGTAGAGATGGGAGTTGGGCAAAGGAGCCTAGAAGTAATGTTGGGGGGCAGCTAGGTGGTGCAGTGGATAGAGCACCGACCCTGGATTCAGGAGGACCTGAGTTCAAATCCGGCCTCAGACACATAACACTTACTAGCTGTGTGACCCTGGGCAAGTCACTTAACCCCTTGCCTAACCCCCCCCCCCAAAAAAAGAAATAATGTTTGAGGTATTGAAGACCCACTAAGGACACATAGGCTGCTGAGCTTCACTAACATAGTAGGGCTTCCTCATGATGAAGACCCATCACCTGGGACTCCCAGAAAAGAAGAAATTGAGGAAAGCAGCCACAAAGCTTTCTCCCAAATTCCTGGTGACCTGCCAAGCTGCAATTTGTCATTCCAATAGCTTGGGAAAGTGTCCCTGCTAGGGGCACTGAGGGATAGTTTCTCAAACCAGCAAAGCCCACATGGGGAGGAGGAAGGACCCTCTATATAGTGGCTCCTCTGAGAAGGCTCTAACCTTCATGGTTCTTGCCTCTTCAGAGTTTGTGAGGAGCCCATAGGCTCAAAGAGGCCTCCCCCAAGTAAGTCCTGAGGAATGATAGTTCTTTAGTAGGAAATAGAAAGTCGGTTGGTTACAATGGTTTCAGGAACTATTGAGTTTTTGTCTAGACTTTACCTTCTTTCTCTTTCTCCTTCTCTAATTCAGGCCCAGAGAACCCCACCCCATACCATCTCACCACACCCTCCATCTCTTTCCCTCAGCCCAAGCCCCAGGTTTCGTGCCACAGGTGCAAGATATATATTTTATTTGTGGTTATTGC